CACTGGCTCTCTGTGCGCCACGCCACACGCCACCTCTGGTCTGGCCGAGGACCTGAAGGCGCCTTGTGCGCGCCACCTTCACCTGTCCGCCTACTGTCTGGAGGAGAAGGTGCGCATCCAGACCCTAGTGAACATGCTGACGGTCGGTGATTGGTCTGCCAGCTCACCGTCACATGATGGTGAGGTCACAGTCTATCTTGTCTGACCCATTGATGTTGTCATTATTGTGTTTGGTAAACGGTTGCTTTAACTGAGTGTAGCATGCAAAACTCTCTCTTCATCACAACTTAAAGATCTATCTCCACCTATTTGTAGCGCGTATTTAAGCTTTCTCGATGGAACACTTTTATAAAATAATTTGTTTTTCGCGTTTTTTAGAATGGTATATTCTCTCTAAGTGTCCTTGGATAGACGAACATTCACTTAAGCTGATTATGCAGTACAACCTCTGGAATGCCAAATGTCTGCCGTGTCTTAGTTATATTTTGAGGTAAACGTGGTTGGAGACTGTGAACATCTTTGGTTTTCCACGTCCGTGTAACGGTAGGCCATTTATTTGTCCACAAATTTGAACTATTTCTAGATATTCCCACTTTGTGTAGATCGGGTTCCCACATCCTGGCGTGGTGGTAACTTGTGAAAATCGTGCTGTACCTTTAATATGTGAATTCAAACGAGGCCCTTTGAGGAACTTAACCTGGAAATATAAGACGTATCCATGAGTCAAAATCCACTGATTTTGTAGAAACATTGTGTCGGCATGTCTACGGACTATTGACGTTGTATTAACCAAGACTTATATGGAACAATCGATTTCATCGATTTGAACCTACAACACTAGCTAATCGATCGGTCAACAAACGCTTATAGGCAAATGCATGGTTCCATACAGACAACTTCTTCGCCTACGCACCCAAACACTGCTTACCTCTTCAACGTAGATTTTATCCAAATATTGCTGATCGCATTTAGATGGACCAGAGCTAGACGCAAATGGGTTCGTCAATTTGCATTCTTTTGTTCTTCGCGCCTTTCAAGGTCACTTTTACGCAAAACCTCACTTTTGCCTACATGCATATTCGCGTAGGTAATGCGTACCACCGAAAGTATGCAAATCCACTTTGACTGGTTAGACGTTATTTTTGGCTGTCCCAATACCCGTATTGTCCGGTTTCACTTTTCACCTCACACTGACCTTTCGAGGGCTCTTTATCGCCCAATTGTCGGCAGGATTTTTGTAATTTGAAGTAGTGACATGACACGACATTTCTTGCTCCCCGTGTATCGTGTTATTTTCGTCGTATATGGATGCATTTGATTTATGCATTATTAAGAGGTGGTAATCTACTTACTGAACCGTGAAGTTAAGACTACGTACCTTTTAAATTATTAGTTGTGGAAATAACCATTTACATAACCCTAATGCTCAAGTTTTCGAAGCTTTAACTGTTATTCCGTTTTGAGAAAATACGAATGAATTTGTGAATTCAGGGCTTGTGATTTGGCCCCTCGTTAATAGTAGTAACACAACATTTCAGTGCCATCTAGCGTTCCGATAGGCAGGACGACGCGCAAATGGTCGATCTGTCTTGAATGCTACCGTGGTCGATCGAGGTACGTTCGTTCGCGTTGCCGATCGATTGCCAGGGCAGTTTGTTCATGTTAATGGGCGATGCTCAGGCATATGATTATTGATTTTTGTGTGAGGTTGCCTACACGCAGTCGCCTTGTTACAGGTTACCTCGGGGAGGTTATAAGGTTGTACAAGACACTACATATTCTTAGACAAAGCTATTAAATCAGCACAAGACTTTATTGAGTTTTAAACTAGATATCTACTGTATTCAGAGCAAGATGTTGAATAATCCTTTGTCTTTTAACATATGGAACCTTGCTCCAGCGAAACAGTAGCACCTTCCCTAACCAGTTGCTGGGCGATTTCGAAAAATCCTTCACAATTGACATTAACCTTTTCGTTCAGTGAGTGGAGAAAGGGTTTCAGCTGGGCATTGTGTTATGTTTTTACAACTTAGTCTTGAATTAAAGCCAGGTTATCGTAAAGTTTGTCTTGCTAATTCAGCCTCCGCAACCTGGTTGCATCCAAAGTTGCAGATTCCTTGTTATCATCGGTGAATGAAAGTGCCTGCCACCAGGTTTGTCTCGAAATCGCTGGCACACCTCACACTTATTGTCAATTTTGTAAAACGTTGTTTTGATGAGGACACATTTTCAGTAGCCAATCACTGATTATCTGCTCTTGTCATTACTAAGGATCGATATTCTTTCCGAAGCAGAAAAATAATTCTGGATACACTGTCTATACTGAAAAACTGCTACATAGAGACCAGCTGTCTTCTCAAAAACACATAACCGGCGTTAATCTGAGCAGTGTTGCAGAATTCTAAGATTTTTTCTTTACTATTTTAAACTCGTCGTGCGCAATAATCCTCTGTAAATGCTCGGTGTTTGCGCGCCAACGTAATTCTTCTGGTGATTGACGTCGGCGGTGTGATCATATCAGGCCTGATTAAGTCCCGATAAGCCAGTCATTTGTTAGAATAAATCGTCGAATTTGAATCTAATTTTTGCGTTCATATCGATTGGGTATGTGGAAGTACTTAAGGTTGGTAGTCAGACTAGATCTAAAAACTCATACATCACCAATTCTTGGGTCATTGTTCTGATGATTTTGTACTGTCGAGCTCAGACTCCCTCTCCCAACTTCGAAGCAGGTCATCAGACAGCAATAACTCAATCAATCAACTACGGAAATCAGGGATCTACGAGATGACATCGGCACTTCCCTCCCTGGCAAACTGCCTCCACAGCTTCCCAGACCTTCAACTTAGGTTAAAAGTCATTTACTCCTCAAACCGCGATTGTTGACAAATTCGCTTCCCTAACTTACGGCTCCAACAGACTTCCTCAGTTCACGAAACTTTTTGTAAACATCGTGATGTCATGTCTTCGCTTTGCGCTGTTTTTGTCGGTTTAAAAACGAAGATAGGGCTGCCAATATTTGTCATGTACTTCAATAAGCCCCACCGCGGTCACTTAATTTTTCGGAAATCTGCCGAAATGATATGGAAAGTACCGTTTGATGATTTCCACGTTGTGCTTTACTTTCCACAGGATTGTGAGTAGCATTGGATTCCGTCAAGACACTCCTTCCTCCAATTTCATTGTTTCAAAAAGCCAATTACCGAATTCCTGAAGTGTTTTAGTAAAACCTCGGTTTTTTTTGAATCATCGTGTGAAACTCCAACACCTCGCACCTGTCAAAAGGGAATCCCTCATTGCACATTTTCACCAAACTTTCATCGAATTCAGCTAATTTTCGCATCATTTTAGTCGTAAATCACCTAACCTGCCTTTGTCTGTTTCTTTAGCACTCAAATTTATTACAAAAAAATCTTTCAGGGTACTTCCTGAACGATAATCATCAGCCGACAAAATCATGGTCCAATTTTTTGAAATTGATTTTTTACGCCATTTATGTAGTTATGCGAGTGTACTAAGCTGAAGACTTCTTCATTCATAATCGATAAGTTAGTCTAAATACTGGTCGATATTAACTGATAGTATTTCGCATTGGCAGGGCAACAGTTTGCACAGTCTTGTTGTGATATCGCTGGGTTTGCCTGCGGTATTTTTCGACTTGGTGCTTAGTGATCACGATAACATCAATTATGCTGCGTAGACGTGGCCGTCTATCTGGTTTTATATGCGTAGATATTTACTAGGCCTTGTGGCAGTAATTTATGGCCTTAGACCACACTAAGCGGCCACAACCAGACAGACAGCAATTCCAATGTAACAGAAACAATACAGTCGATTGGGAAGACGAGTGGTTATGGCATAAGTTCCTCTGACCACAAATTCAACCCCTAACCCCCTCACTTTATTGGTACTCGCTTTCCCCTCTTCCTCATATTCATGGGTTATTTTAGTCGCATCAATTGGACGTGATAGGGCAAAAGTAAGCCAATGAATATGCGCAAGACTGCAGTGTAATTTGAAACTGTATAAAGCGTGGAGTTAGCTTATCTCTGGAGCGCCAGGATGCCAGTGGAAGGAGCATCGTGGTCCACTGGTTTAATTATCAACGCTCCAAATAAGATCGGTTCGTAGGAGAGAAAAGCTAAATGAAATATCAGAAAACTTAGCACAAATCGATGATCCGAGGTGCAAGGTGACCCGACGCATCACCACCCGAGCCGCAGGTCATCAAAATGTCAATACATCGATGTGTGGCGACCAGCAAGCCAGCACAGTTAGCATTCGTGAGGGACCGCAGTTTGCAAGTGCAAGCGAACACAAATCAATCGATTTTTTTTCGTGAATGCACTGTTGTGGACAGACAGCCAACGCGCGTGAGTGCTGCGTGTAGGCTTGCTTGTACGACTGTATCAATGACTCACCCTCTTTGTTATTGGTTTTTGTTAGCAGTCGCCTGTAACGCA